AAAGAATTTTTTTGTGTCTACATGAAAAATAATGTATAATCAATCATTTAAACTGTTTTCTTCCGATTTTCGTATAAAACGTTAAGTCACTTGGTAAAAAACGAAACACAGAATTTTTTGGGAATTAAGAAAGTATTGGAAACGGGTTCTTTAGAATATGTAGGACTATATACACACCAAAAGACAATAGAAAGATGACGATATCTATGCAGTTTTATTTATGCTTAGTTTTCAGTTCGAACCTTCTAAGCGCATCTTGAAACTTAGTATGCAAGTCGGTGGCGGCTACTAAGTCAGATTTGCTTGGATTTTTTGGACCATTTGTAGTACAGTTATCGTTGCAAAAATTTGTGCTGCTATACATTTCGAACTGTCTTCGACGCCTTTTTTTTACTGTATTGTATTAATGCATTTCCGTATCTGTCGTTTGTTAAAAAGCTGTGGCGATCGTTTTGTATGAGTTATTTGTTTTGCATCCACACTACACACATTTTTTTAACACGTACGTAGACGTATAGTATATACATCGCTCCATACCTTTTTCCTTTTTCACTTTACGAGTAGATACAAATGTGCGTGGTCCATGAGAATATTGTTTGTTACTATCTTTCTTATCGTCACTGTTTTCTTGCTGCTGACGCAGTACTTATGTCGTTGTTTCGTATGTCGTATCTCTTGCCAGCTAGCAGGTAAGTTTTTATACGTGTGACCGAAGATTTCATTCATTTTTTAAGGGTATTCAGTCAGATCGAAAAAGAGATGTGATTGATTTTCTTGTATGAACAGTTGTTTCTTTAGATTTACACAAAGCTAAGAGCAATAGTTCTACAAGCACTCAACAAATCAAAACAAATTATAAAACTGGTAATTGTGAAAAATTTTTTGCAAATATTAGTTTGGGGAAAAAGAAATCCATTATTTTTTCGGTAGATGACTGCACTGATAGATTTCTCGTAAAGTATCGATCAAACAATTTCAGATTTATGCTCGTTGGAAAGGTGACATTTCGCAGTAAAAAAAATTCTTTTGCTATTTTTTGTTTGGTGCATTCAGTTGTGAGTTACAGCGTGTTAAAAATGGAAGTAAACAAAGAGAAAATTCGGTACATTTTACAGTTTTTCTTTGACAAAGGCGAAAATGCAAGCCAGGCGGCTAAAATTGTGAATGGTGTTTATGGTTCCGACGCTGTAACAGCCAATTATGAGCAATTTTGGTTTCGTAGATTCCGTTCAGGAATTTTTAATGTTAAAGATGTACCTCGCACAGGTAGGCCGGTCGTCGAAAATGTCGATAAAATCGGAGAAATGATCGAAGTTGACCGGCATGTTAGCAGTCGTAACATCGCCCAGGAGTAAAAATTGACCATAAAACAGTTTTAAACCATTTACACAAAGCTGGATTCAAAAAGAAGCTCGATGTTTGGGTGCCACACCAATTAACAGAAAAAAACATGATGGATCGAATTTCCATCTGCGAAGCCTTGGCCAAACGGAATGAGATAGGCCCTTTTCTTAAACGGATGGTGACTGGAGATGAGAAATGGATCACATACGATAACCCTGTGCGAAAACGATCGTGGTCCAAGAGCGGTGAAGTACCTCAAACGGCCAGGAAGGTTTTGCTATGCATTTGGTGGGACTGGAAGTGGATTATTTATTATGATTTGCTTCCATATGGCCAAACGCTTAATTCTGATCTCTACTGTCAACAAATGGACCGTTTGAAGATAGCGATTGACCAGAAATGGCCAGAATTGGCCAACAGGAGAGGTGTCGTGTTCCACCAGGACAACGCTAGGCCACACACATCTACAGTGATTCACCAGAAACTTCGGGAGCTTGGTTGGGAAATTTTAATGCATCCACCATACAGTCCGGACTTGGCACCAAGCGATTATCATCTTTTTCTTGCATTGCACAATTTCTTTAACGATAAAAAATTGGAATCTAGGGAGGATTGTGAAAATCGACTACTAGAGTTTTTTGCAAAAAGAGACCAGGACTTCTATGAGAGAGGCATTTTGAAGTTACCTTTAAAATGGCAACAAATCATACAACAAATCGGACAATCTGAAGCATGTTAAATAAAGTCCTGAAGTTCATATAAAAATAATGGATTTCTTTTTCCCCAAACTAATAGTTCCTCGAATCTTCACAGAGTAGGGAAACAAAGCAAAGTTGGAGAACAAACATCCCTCTTTACTAATTTGACGTAAGCAGAACGGATAAGATATCACGACGTCTTACAACATGTGGTAAATCGATCAGCTTTTATCTGAAATCACATCGTGGAAGCTGTAAACGAGAATTCCAGCCTAATCCAAATATTAAAAAATTATCCCAGAAGGTGACTATAATAACTACAACTAGGTGACAAGAGAATAACTGAGTACTCTAGAAGTCGCCTTACTAATGAAGTATATAGATGTTTAAAAACATATAGATCCTTTGGCAGATGGTCAAAAGCCATCTGTTGACGAACGGAAGGACATATTTAGTCTTGTTCACAGAAACATCAGGGTAGAGGATGAACCTAAGTTTAAACTCTCCAATCTGTTATAATAGGAATTAGTGGCTTCGAGATTACATAAACGTCAATACACAAATAAATAAAAGTAACTTCTAACTACCAACTAAACTAAAAGATATTTTCGAGTTTGTACTAATTAATGTGACAGAATGGGAGGACTGCTTTCTACGAAAGCGACAATTTCTAACATTATTTAAATTCAAGGACGTCCTACTGGTCGAGCACATCAGTTGAAACAAGCAAGCATGATTTGCATGATTTGTTAGAAAGATGAATATAAATATGATTGGTTTGCTTATGCACGGAGAGGACCTGATATAGACTACAAGAAGTCAAGGTGGATCTTCCCATAAGAGACCATGCTGGTATTGTTGACAGATTTTATAAAGATGGTCATTAATTAACAATGGCGAAACAGAGTAGGACTTTTCAAAGTAAAGAAAAAAAAGGCGAAAAGTTTTTATACTCTATCCCTAGTCTAGATCCAAACTCCTGTTTTTTGGAATGAAATTTTCGTGAAGTAGTTCACAGATTCCATCAAAAAAAATTTTTTATATTGTGGGGTTATGAGTGCGATCTGTAACACCCAAGTTCCCCGTTTCGATTGAGTAATATTTTAGGTATATTCAAAAAAACCTAATACTAATATTTACCTGTTCACTCTTATTTCAACAAGGACGGACATGGTAGGGAAAACATTTATTTAGATTAATTTTTAACCAAATAAACTCAATACAGGGGGACAGGTCACAATCATTGATGTTGCTAGAAATTTATTAATTGTTATCAATATCCTAGTATCGTTGTTATTATAATTTTTTTAAGCCGAAGAAATAAATTCTTTTACTAAAACAAAGTAGACAATAGCAGCCAATGACTATGTCCTAAAAGGATATACAAGGATTTTCCAAGTAAAGTAACACATGAAATTCAACTCAGCTTGAAAACATTTCTTTCACTAAAAGTAGCGTGATATTCAAAGCTGCGTATTGGAAAACATGAATCATAAAATGTTGTGCACTTGCATATTTTGAATTGGTTATTTAAAAAGAAGGAAAATTATAGTCACCCATAACCAAAGTAAAATAGAGTATGTAAATAATTATTATTACAGTTTGCGATTAATGAGCAAAATATCCATTTCGTTGTTCTTGAAAACATTTTTACTTACTTCTTCTATGCGTATGTTTTTTAGCCGATTTATCCCACTTTCAATATGAACTTGGACGTTACAACTTCTAATGATTTTGCTAAATTTGAGGCCTAAATATTCGTCTAGGAGCTTGTTTATCGTAAACATAGGTAAACAGACGAACCGGAGGACGAGCAAACAGACGGAAAAACTTTGACACTAACTAAAACATCTCTCAGTTCTTTTTCAGGACATTACAGACGTTTTGATAAAAAAATGCAAATTCGGTCCTCTATAATATTAAGTGAACGAGGCCTTCTTGTAATATGAAAGTGGAAATTTTTATCCTGTGTCTGCAATAGTTTATAAGTCATAAGCAAACAATGCGGAAAACAAAGATTTTCTCATTTTTGTTGCACTGCCAGGATTGTCCTTTGACCGATTTATACCTTTTCAAATTCTTTTGCGAATTTGTATACGAAGTCTGACCCGTTGCGAACGGAAGAATGTTTACCATGTTTACAGTACAGTGAGGTGGATTCGGCGTTTGACAGTAATCGAAGTTTTGCATAGTTATGGAGGAAGTTTTTCTATTTCTGCGTGGACACTATAGCGTCGCATACGGAGTATAAGTTTAAAACTTTATGTGTTTATCTGCTTAAGTTTGTGGATAATGACCAAAAACCAATTTTTTCCCTTTTGGAAAAAAAAAAAATTCTCGGTTTACGTTATACTGCAGTCTCGTCCTTGAACCAATTAAACCCACTTTCAACACAAACTTGCATGCAAGGACTTCCAGTGTTTCTGCTAAATTGTGAGCCGACAGGTTCATTTGTGCAACTAAAGCAATGTTTAGCGCGTGTTACACAGACAGACGATAATACTCAGTTTGATTTCAAATGCGATACTGATTAAGAATGTACATAGTTTCTAGAGTCTCCGAAGCGTTTTTCTGCGCATTGCGCCAATATACGGGGGTGGCACCAGAAACGTAGGATATGTACAAGATAGAAAAAGTTATTATCACTCCAATCGTACTTGAGAAGCCACAGACGCAGTGATGCTCTCTACAGCGACTTTGACACGCGGATTCCTGCAACACTGGTAAAAACAGGTGCTGGAGTAATATTAAAAGAAAACTACGAAAGCGTCAAGACAAAATTATGAAACAACTGGCCCGAGGGGTGGGTGAAATTCCAGCCGTGAGCTGATGAATGCACATACTAATAATAAGAATAATAATAACAATAATAATGATAATAAAAATAGGTCATTTGTACGTTTTGGAGACTCTGCTTTTGGAATTTACGTCTATTTTATTTTTTTCATTTACTTGCAGGCTCTAATCAATAATTATTGTCAGAATGTGGAGGATAAACGAAGAGGGATGAAGCAATATGATTTATAACGAATGTTGAAGTGAATAATACAATTCAAATTCAAATAATTCTGGCCGCTTGTCTTGGTTTATTTGACAAAAGATTGGAGCAACCAAAACTAATTTTGAATTTATAAACTTTGTCAACTGAAAAGCAATGGGTGATGACAATATAATGACCGAAATAAAAGGAATAGTTATGAAGTCATGCCCCTACAAAACGAACATATATCAGAGTTTAAAAAAGCAAAGCGAATACACCATGAACCATCGATATCGAAAAAGAGCAATACCGCTACCTCTTGGACGAAGGTTGATGGAATTGCTGGACAGTCATAGACGTTGTTTCCCTGCCATTGTATTAGTTTTAGGATTTTTTTTATTAATAAGTAACATAGTACTAGCGGAATATGTCAGAGAATTGGATGTTTCTGAAGGTGTACCGGTGGGCTATCCGATTGGATACATAGGCGAAAATTTACCGGGCGTAGATAGCGGACCACCGTATTTAATCGTACCAGTGCCGGGTAGCGGTGTTGACACTGATTTAACTATTGACCATTCTACAGGCGAGATAAGAACAAAAGTGCGCTTAGATCGTGAAACGAGGGCTTCTTATAACCTGGTGGCCATACCGTTAAGTGGTGAAAATGTACGTGTATTAGTGCGGGTGCATGACGAAAACGATAATGCTCCCACCTTTCCAATATCAGTTATGAAAATCGAATTTCCCGAAAACACCCCACGTGATGTAAAAAGGACTTTACACCCAGCCCGCGATCTGGACATCGGCCGTTATAATATACAACGTTATAATATCGTGTCGGGTAACATAAACAATGAATTTCGTTTGTCATCTCATCGGGAACGGGATGGTGTTTTATATTTAGATTTACAAATAAATGGTTTGTTGGATCGTGAAACTACCCCCTTTTATAGTTTGGTGATAGAGGCACTGGACGGTGGTAGCCCTCCATTAAGAGGACAAATGACAGTGAACATAACACTTCAGGATGTTAATGACAATCAGCCTATATTTAATCAAAGTCGTTATTTGGCTACAATACCGGAAAACGCTACTTTAGGCACCGCAGTCCTGCAAGTTTACGCCACTGATGCTGATGCTGACGATAATGGTCTAATAGAGTATGCCATAAATCGTCGGCAGTCCGATAGAGAACAAATGTTTCGAATAGATGCTCAAAGCGGTTGGATCGCGATTAACAAGCCTTTGGACTTTGAGACAAAGGAATTACATGAGTTGGTCATAGTGGCTAAGGATCACGGCGAGACACCTTTGGAAACCACGGCATTTGTGTCGATCAGCGTTACTGATGTTAACGATAACCAGCCTACAATAAATGTAATATTTTTAAGTGACGACGCTACTCCGAAAATTTCAGAATCAGCTCAACCCGGGGAATTTGTCGCCCGCATTTCAGTTAATGATCCGGACTTAAAAACAGAATATTCAAATGTTAACGTTACTCTGAATGGTGGAGAGGGCCACTTTGGTTTGACAACTCGAGATAATATCATTTATTTGGTAATTGTTAATATGACTTTGGATCGAGAGTTGATACCGAATTATACATTGAGTGTAGTAGCAACGGACAACGGAAGTCCTCCATTGCACGCTTCTAAAACAATTTATTTGCGAGTAACCGACATTAACGATAATGCTCCTGAGTTCGATAGAGAAGTATATCAAGCTAATGTCATGGAAATTTCCGAACCTGGCACATCGGTTTTGCAAGTATATGCGTACGATCGTGACGAGGGTAACAATTCGGCTATCATATATTCTCTAATGGACACTCCAGAGACTCATTCAGATTGGTTTCAAATTAAGCCAAATAACGGTTTAATCACGACAAGAACCTACATCGATTGTGAAACAGAACCGGTACCACAGATAATCGTTATAGCTTACGATAATGGCCACCCGCCGCTGTCGTCCACAGCTACGGTATTAGTAACTATTCACGATGTTAACGACAACGAGCCGATATTTGACAACAACTTCTATAACATCACCGTGGTGGAGAATGCACCTTTAAGGAGATGTTTTGTCAAGGTTAGTTAAAATATGTATTTCACTTAAACCGTACCTAATGCAATCTATAAGAAATCGAAAACTTGCAAGCTTTAAAAATAATCATTGCTATGTTTTCTCTTTAATTATAATACAATGTACGCTTTTGGCAAATTGATTCATGTTTAAATGTTCGAAATATACATTATGTGCAATTTAATATCACTATCATTTTGTAAGCCTTTTATATTTCAATTTTCAGCATATCAGAGCTTTGTAAATTAGCGTAGATGCGTTGGTATTTATTGGTTAACAAGACTTCAGACGCTTTTCGAATTCGAATACCTTATTAACAACTAAGAAAGTTATATTCGGCGGGAGTCGAATATCTCCATCTTTAAACGGACTTGGCTCATTTCCAGTGGTCCAGCTTTGGACAAATTAAGGGGCGAGCCTAACTAAGATTTCGCTTAGTCTAATAATTTGCGCAGTTTATAACCAGTGCCAATATCAAAGTACACACAAGCGCTTAAACGAAAGGGACCGGATGCTAGTCAATGGTCAAATGTGGCCAAATATTCACTAAATAAAAATAGAAACGAAGGAAACATTTGGTTACGTATAAGCACGCGTAAGAAGGCACACGGAAATAATTAAATAATCAATACGTTAGTTTGTCGGACATGCAGTTCTAAACCAAATAATAATAATCATGAATCTTAACGAGGTTGAATATATACACATTTATAAGATATGAGATTGAATAAATGATGTTATATAGTGACAGCAATTCAAATGGTGGAACAAATTACTCTTTATGCACCTGCAAATCCCATTTCAAATAAGAATAATTGCAGTAGCTATGAAAAAAGAAAAAATATTTCACCATATCTTTCCATTAGAAGTAGGGTTATTATTGCTTTAATCGTGTATGTTTGCTTAAATTTAATTATGCTTCTTGTGTTGAAGTAGCGCTCATTTGTGGTTTAACAACCACAACCGCTTTGCTGCCGTTTGGGCTCTACATATGTACCGGACTTGTCAAATGCTTCATAAGGCATAAAACTACACATCATCGATAGCCTACTGTATTGTGTCCTATAATCTATTTTTTGCCGGTGTATGAACACAGCTAACCAGGAATTCGATTTCGCCTTGTTGTTTGTTGCTAATTTATGCTGGTTTAGTTACTTTTCGATAATTTTATGTTAAATCTTATTATATTGGGAATAGCACATAGAAATATAACTGTATATCAACTACGTTGCCAAGCATATTATCGCTTACCAGCGCAGTATGCGGCACTCATGGTGTTCTTGGGCTTCAAAATTTAAATTGCATTTTGTAATATTTTTAAACTTCGTTACTGTTTATGTCACCGTTAAATTTCATCAAATTATGAAAAATATCGGTGTTAATATGATGCTTTCTGTTGCAGGTCTTTTCTCAATTCATTCGCGCAGCAGTATATGCAAATACTCGTACTAACATATCCATAGCGAAACGAAAAACAAATACATTATTTTTTCTTAGAAGAATAAAGCGGTTTTAAGATAAAAAGTAATAACAATACTTCTCAAAAAAATCATTTAAAACTCTGTAACTGTACTAAATGTGTGGGTGAAAAAAAATTGGATAAAAAAACTGAATTATTAATGCATTATGTGATTAGATGAGGATGAAATACTTCCAAAAATATGGTCAGCTCTTTTTTAATAACCATCGTTGTAAATATGAAATGAGTTCTTACATTTACATTTTTACTTACTTTTTTCAATAACTTTATTTTTACTCTTTCTTCATTTTCATTTCAAATTATTTAAATAAATTACAATCATATGCAAAAGTGAAATTTTTTTTTGTCAAGAAATGAGTTGCCGTCGTCTTCTACACAAAAGGCGCACAAGTATCTACAAGATCCTTTTACAAGCGGCGTCGTCTTAAATCTTGCGCCGTTTTTGAATTATCCACATCGACTGTAACTGCGATGAACTTTGGTAAAAACGAGGAGCTTTTCAAATACATTCGCTGATTGGATGCTGGGAGTGCACGAGCAAAACCTTGATTTTCTAAGCAAAGTTATGAAAAGTATATAATATCCAAGTAATCTCTTCAATCGCTAAGTGACAATGTTTTGCAGTTTTCGAACATGCTGGTCCCTCCGTTACTGTAAATGGACGTGTTGGACGGCTTGGTTTCTGGCCTGAGGTTGATGGTACGTACATGGGCGAGATTTATTTTTAACAGCGCGCACTCTCCAACCTACATCCTGAGAGACATCCCTTTAAAGACTCACATATGGGAATTTCGAAAAAGTAGATATAGTAAGATGGAAAAAGTATAGAACCTGCTCAATGCAAAACCAGGCATTAAATCTCTTTTCGAATCTTTGCCTCTTTTAACAATTTTCTAATTGTAACCCAAAAAGTCGTTTGTATTTGCCGTATTGCAGTCTATGCCTAGCTTTTTCTAGCTGTTTTGTTTTTTGGAGTACACTATATATTTGATATAAAGAATTTGCATGAAAACCCTTGGATTTCTTAAAAACCAAATTTTGAATTTAGTAAAACCAAATACACTTTTGTGTCGGAGCTGGCCACTGAGGAAAACATTAACAACAATGCGCAAAGCGTATCACAGATACGAAAGCGGTTATTAAGCGGTCGATTAAGTGAAGATGGTGGAATAGTAATTTTCAAACGGACAAGACCAGAACTATCACTTGAAATTTTTAAACATAAGTTTCTGTTAATAATTTGTAAATTGATTTAAACATCGCAACTCAGTGCTATCACTTTACTTTGAAGAGAAGTTGAATAAATACGCAGTAAAGTGTTTTACGTTACAATATATTGAGCCTAATAATAGATACCACGTTTCTTGTTTCAAATACCAATGCATAAGCACATGCGTTGAATAAGTGAAGTAAATAACTATACACCTGAAATATCCATGCTTTGTAGGTAATCTAAAATAAATTTGAGAACGACCCGATTTCTACATTTTTATTTGTTTATTATTAGATTTTTCAGCCTACATCTCTGTTTAATAACGAGTAAAAATAGAGCAAAAATCCTCGGAAACTTGATAGAATTTTAACAATTAATAAAAGGCTGTGGAATTTGTGCAGAGATACATGAAAAAAAGCCAAACTGGAAAGAAATACAATTAACCTTTACAACGTTAACGACAAACACTGCAATTCATCCTCCATCTCGATAAATTTTCCCTATTTTACATAAGAAAGTCAATAAATAATTACAAATAAATTTGCTTGGAAAAATTCAAGACTGCAATGCTAAGGCATCGTTATGACGTGTTTATGGTAGAATTACGTCGTCTAAGAAAACAACTAATGGTAATGCAGAAGTACGCCCATAAGTGATCGTGTGTTTACAATAACGTGCTGTTTGTAATAAATAAATATATGTATTCATATTACACATACATTTGTTCTTCTTTTACATATCCACCTGAGAAATTTACATAATGAACTTTTTATAGTTAAGGGTTGTTTGATTGCTTGCGCATTGCAGTGTGTGTAAATATTTATTCACATATAAAAGATTGAGATTTTTGATTCGAACGACTTACATAAAGGTGATAGATTGTTTTACTAATTGTTGATGTATCTATTGGGATCAGAAATATTTCGCAATAAGTGTGGAGAATATTTGGAGTAAGTTTTATGTCAATATCTGCTGTAGTTTATACGTTGCAGTAATGCCTATCTATTCAACTTTTATGAGTGCAAGTAAGTGCGTGGACAGATGAACACAAGACAGTATGTTTGGCCGGTCAAGAGTAAAGTGTATTTATGATTTCTACAAGCGGAGGAACATATATAGCACCATTATAGCGGTGTTTTCTCCTCAGCTCTAAAGGCAAAGTTTGCGAGTAAAAATGCTCGCTGACTCATTTCATATAATAGTTTATAATTATTGAAAATATTTTTAAACAGCTTTCTACACCCATTTGCTACAATAACCTTGTTCTCAAACTAAGTTGATTAAAAACTAAATGAACTACGCTCTAATAACAAACCACGTAGAAGCAGTTTACGTACACTTTTATTATTACAAGTGATCCTTTGCGAATTGCTTAAAAAAAAAGTAATACTATCTTCCCTTTTTCTATATTTCCAATTTCGCATACAACACAAATTAATGTAAATATCGGTGAGGAACTTAGAAATGACAAGCATATGATAGAAATATTGCAATTATTAAATTGAAGTCAAAATTATTCCGATAACAAACCATAATAAGAAACTTGAAAATACTGCCAGCACGGGAAAAAACCGGAAAAAGATAAAAGACATGTAAATAAAATTCCAAAAGAAGCTAACAAAAACACCAAACATAATGCTGCAGATCTAATCAGATTTCTAAAGTCACCAAAAACTTTGTGGTCCTGATTATATATAGAAGGAGGTCGTTCCAATTTTCCAGCAATTTCAGGCAATACTCAGCGCACACTGCGGTCTAAAATCCGACAATAATTTGGATCCATATAATTTTTATAGTAAAAATATATGAATTTTGGAATGGATACCAAATAAAAGAACTATCACGTCAAAGTGGGTGGAGCAAAATTTTAAATATGAATTTTCCAGAATGAAGCAGATTCATGCAAATGTATTAAATGCAATAAAGATTTGTATAGTAAATTAAATTTACCATTACTAAACTTTGGCTATTATTGCGGTTAAGATAATTTTTAAAAAATAAAAAAAAGGATGAATTTGAAATAACTCATATATAATATAGAAATATATAAAATATGTTTGTAGCTCAAAAATGAATAAAAATGGCTAATTTAAATTTTCTACAACTTAATAAAACTAAGGTTTCTCTTGATATAAATCAAAAATATTTGCTTATTACTTATAGAAGGGAACGGAATGTGTTGTTATTTTAACTTGTTAATAGGTAACGTTTTTACTTCGCTTATATAGCGAACACTATAGCAACTATAGCAACTATACCACCGTTAGTATATCTTTTTTTCTGCGTCCTCCCTTTATTTTGCTTCTAAGCAAT